TTATGCACCGAGTGGTCCATCCATCAAACCCCATGCCTCTCTAGTTTAGAGAGAAGAATGTCGTGCGGGACAGTGTCAAAAGCTTTGCACAAGTCCAGGTAGATGATATCCATTGGTCGACCCTTGTCCACCGATGCTGTCACCCCGTCATAAAAGGCCACCAAGTTGGTCAGGCACGATCTGCCTTTGGTGAAGCCATGTTGGCTGTCACCCACCACCTCCTTATCATTCTTTAAAAAACAGATTTTAACTTCTCACTTCAAAGTGCATGCCTTTTTAGCAGAGCAAATTAAATCTTACTCTTTTTAGTTATTTCTAAGTTCGTCTGAAGTTCTTGATTATGTGCCATCCCATGGTACCTGAGTTTAATCACCTTTCCTTATCAGTGTGATTTCTGAAAGACCTTCCCTTTGTTGAGGTTTAAGAACCACATAGGAATAAGCAGTGGTTTTCCATCTCCTGTAAGGAAGCTCCCTGTTAGAGCTGGAAATCGATTTATTTCTTATTTTGACTTATAAAGATTGAGTGTATTTTCTCAAATATATAGAGGCACAGCAGGCAAAGAATGTTGATGATACAGAAGAGTTAGTGTTGAAATGCATCATCATCTTTTCGAAAAGCATTGCTTAGTGCTGGATGTGTTGTTCTATGACATTATTTTTGCCCCTTCCTTTTAAAGCGAGTCTGATGCTTAGAAACAGAATTCTTCTTTAAGATCTCATCAACTCTTGCTGTTCATTCTACATTGAAGTCAACATCTGCTGACATATCATAATCATTTTCACAGCGACCAGTTATAATGTATCAGACAGAGCATTCTAAATTAGGAATAAGCAGCAGATAAGTGCTAAAAAGAAATAATACTTATGATTTGGTGAAATTACTCCTTTTGATAAGAGGAAGAAAAATTACAAGGGAAAAGAAGAATAGGTCAGAAAAATAAAAAAGCTTGACACATAGTGTACCTCTCCAAGCAGAATGTTTTTTAGGTCTTTGTTTTTACATGAATTTGGTGTCCATTGTAGGAAAAAATCATGGTATTTTCATAAAAGGCATTTCCAGATATGGCAAAGTATTTGATAAAAAATTCACTGGGAGAGTAAATAGTTACAAATAGATAGATAGAAAAAAAAATATATGGATATGATGAGTGGAAATTTATTTACATAAAATATGAATAGTGAGCATGTTAACTACAAATAGATATTTTGAATGAGAATGCATAGTTATAAATATGTGTATTATTAATTATGAATTCCCATTAGTCAACCGGAATGTTGCATTTTTTTTTCAAATTCATCCTTTTGCAGAGATGGGAGGGCAGAGGGGGAACAAATGGTAGTAAGAAGACATTTGATTTGTATTGAGTGTGAAACTAGCAAGACAGGCCATGAGAATTTCTCATGGCAGAAGTGGCCAAACTGCTTGACCTTTGAAGCAGCATCAGTGCTCCATGTGACCAAAAAAGCAGATCCCTCTAACTGCTGCTGCTTTGGCCCTATATCATGTGACAACTTGCACCACACCTCCTCCTCTTCCTCTCCATTTATACATTATCATTCCAATTTAATATTTGCCTGCCTTACCACTGTGTTCTCAGATGTAAGTGTAAGCCACGTCTATAGCTGCCTGCCTTTGCAAGATATTGTGATGGTGCAGGTGAGGGAGCTGCCAACTACTGCACAGTAATGAGAAATTGTGTATCTGATTTGTTTTTCTGTTTTTAAGGTCTCCTGGCCATTGATCACTTTATTTCTACACACAATATTGTTTCAAATAGGTTTCTTTCTCAGGACAGTGGTGCTAACTGCCTGAATATCTAGAAGACATCCAAAAAAGCTGGTGTGTGGTTTATACTAATGTGCTTGTGAGTTGTGTGATGCTTACAATATGCAGTTTGGCTAACATTAGTCTGTGTCCTAATGGTCCTTTATCTTTCTCTAAATTTTCTGAGATTTTATTTTATGTTTAAAAAAGAAGAAAAAGAATATAATTTGTCTTTCTATTGAATGTTTTGATTCTTACGCTTCCCCTGTTTCTGTTGAATTATAGGATGAAGTTTGTCCCAAAGCGGATGGAGATCCTGTTCAGCGATGTGTATGGGCAACTGCTGTTAATGTAAAAGACAAGTTCATTTACGTAACCCAGCCCACACTTGACAGAGTTCTTCTTGTTGATGTACAGTCTCAGAAAGTTGTACAGGTATTTAGTTCTCATTTTTAAGATAATATCTAATTTGAACACAAGAATTTAAGATTTTCCTTCATATTTTGGAAAAAAAAATGCAATTAGCTTAAGAATAAACACAATACATAGAAAAAACCTCATCTACTTTTTGATATTTAGCAGCAGTTTCTCTTTTACACTGTTCTTGTCAATACACAATTGGGAGGGAGAGAATCAACATGAAAATACCTCTTATAAATATTAATCAAGTAGTTGAGAACACGAGTTCTTTGGGAAGTTTCTGGCTTGAGGTACTTTTCACTTAGAAATGAAGATTCATTCAAATAGTCTTACCACAGGAATGTGTCTATCAGTTTTGACAGGAGAGGTCAGGGGGTTAGGTTTGGCTATAGAAGGTGAAGAACTGTTATTCAGTCAGCTTTTAGACAGAGAAATTCCTGGAATTGTGGAAGACCCGACACCACCCTTTGCCAAGACCGGAGACTACGAATTCAAATTTATTCTCTATTGCTCTCTACTGTGTAGGTGCTACTATCAGTTTCTCCATTTCTGGGATGCTGGAGATACTCTGCTTAGATAAATACTTCATTAGGTAAAAGAGAGAAATTGATGTTATGGTACAGGGATTAATGCACTCATCATTGGTTGAAGACCAAGGTACAAGGCAATGCTAAAATGAATATTAGGTTTTTTGAGCAATAAAGTTCCCTCAGGAGAGCCTGAGAGAGTCACAATATAATCCAAATGGTCAGCAGTCTTACTGGGATGGAGTAAAAATTTGATGTTTAGTTGCCACCACTCAAATCAAATACCATAAAATCTATACTCTCCCTCCCTCCCTCTCTCTCTCTCTCTCCCCGCTTTATGTATCTGGTGGTATCAATTATATTATTGTACCATGAGGTTAAATAGGGTATTTACATGAGGACAGATTTTAGTCTGTGAAATTGTTCAGGACATGTGAAAATGCATTTAGATTATAATAGCCATAAACTCATTAAGTTCTAAAAAAATATTTTCTGAATACGAAGAGAATATGCAAAGTCTCAAAATGTTTGTGTTAATGACTCATATGAAAAAGGCAAAATCATATTTTTTTGCTATTTGCATTCTACCTAGTATTCCCACCATATTATACTTTTTTTTAATCAGAATCATACAATATAATCTTTTTCATTATAAAGTCATTAATATTTCAGGATGATGCCATTTGACCAGAAAGATTAGTTTTAATTCACTGTCAGTGGCAAAAAAAAAGTCAATCAATTATAGTTGGAGACTGTAAACAGTCTTGATAACAGACAAGGGGCTTGTTTTCTGGTTCAGTTTGTGTGTTTGTGAAGGGGTTTTTTTGGTATATTACAGACCTTATAAAACCTTGAAGTTTGCTTTAAAAGTAAGGTTCTTCTTTTTTGAAATAAAATTATTTCCTGGGCAAAGAGCTCTGAAGCTAGTTAAGAACTTGTTAACAATCCTGCCCTGATTCTCAGAAGAAAGGGCACTTGTATGTGAAACTGATAGAGGTTTTGACACCACACTGGGTGGTCTGGTTCAAATTTTAATCATACAAATGTGCATTACATCTACGGAGTTACTTATAGTTTCATCACATTCATAGGAAACAGATGTTCTTTAGCTAAATAAAAGATTGGTATTTTTTATTAGAAATCTAATCTAAATTGTTAATAAAAATATTTAAATATAGCTTATCTTTCTACCTTTTGCCTTTTTCACCAATGAATGAATAATAATCTTTAATGTATAGATTATATAGCGAATATTAGGCTCCAGGGAGACCTTATTATGGCCTTTCAATACTTAAAGAGGTCTTATAAGAAAGATGGGGACAGATTTTTTAATAGAATCTGTTGCAATAGAGTTTTAAAACTAAAAGAGGGTAGATTTAGACTAGATATAAAGAAGAAATTTTTTTCCAAGGGTGGTGAAACACTGGAACAGATTGCCCAGAAAGGTGATAGATGCCCTATTCCTGGAAACATTCAATGCCAGGCTGGACAGGGCTCTGAGCAATCTGATCTAGTTGAAGATGTCCCTGCTTGTTGAAGGGGAATTGAACTAGAAGACATTTAAAGGTCCCTTCCAACCAAAACCATTCTATGATTCTGTGATACTAGTATACTTATATATTACTTATATTAATGTAACATTTAAAAATACATAGCAAAATTGCAGTTTTAAAATTGCATTAACTTGACAAATAATTTTAATTTTAATATTTTTGTGTTCTTTAACCATCTACATTTTCTACCTTCTATAGTCTATGTCAGCTGACTTAGTAGACGTAGCTTCCTCAAAACCTGACCTATCCAAACGGTAACAGGGACTGATAAAATGTTTCATAAAAAAATAATAATAATAAAAAGATATTAGTTTTTTTTTTCTTTTACTTTTTGTTTAGTTAAATTGACCTTGGCATATCAATGTAGAGATGAACCAAGTGGATAGTGATTTTTTGTTTTCTGAAGACAAGACTTTTTTTACAACTAATTCAATATATTTCTTCAGGAAGAGAGACTAAAAAAACAGTCTTACTGTAATTCATAGATTTGAAGGACTGGAGTCTCTGGCAATGGTTTCCCTGGTGTCTGGCTGATATTCATGTGTCATCTTGCTTTCCTACAGATGATGGATGAAATACCAATTTAATTGCATTTATTAGCATTTAGATTTCAGTGGCAAGAGCATATTATACCTTTTGAGCTCACTGAAAAATATTGTAGAAGTTGGAGGTTCTTTTAAAGTTAGGTTTTATGAAATAGTTTGACTGGTAGAGTCTTCTAATTTGTCTTCAGTTACATTAGTTATTATTTTACTAAGTACTTTACCATTAACTGAATGTTTAAAGATACCTACCACAATGATGTATGTTAATTAAAAAGTAAAATTCAATAAATTAGCCACTAATTAAAAGTACACCCTTCTCCTAGAAACGTGTAAAGTGATTCTGCTGTTTATGGGTGGAGTTAGACATAAATATTCAAGTCTCTGTAATGAACTTAAAAACAGACATACAGTATGCCTGGGTGTTACACAGAGATTTATGCACTAAGTCTGTGCTCCTTAGCAAATATATTGGGCTAAAACCAGATATGCCACAAGCCTTCATGATAGTCCAGGAAAAATACCCTTTCACTTTCAAAGTTTTATTTTGAGTAACAGAATAGCGTTGCTTTTCCGTTACTTTAATAATGTCCTGATCATAAACTCAGGGAATTATAGAATGAAATTTATCCCATCTGTGGAAACCTTTTGCCGCAACTAAAGTCTCAGTTTTGATGGTTCTAGGATGCTTAGATATTAATGATAAATTATGCTTCCATTTCACAACAGTAAGCGTAGACGTTTGGGATAAGGGATAACATGAACCAGATTAAGTATATTAGAGCAAATGTGTTACTGTCACTTTTGGGCACCTGAGCAGAATTTCTGCTATGTGTGCTGGCCTGAAAAATATTTCCTACGATACACTTAGCCAAATACATGGGAAAAGTGTTATGAGACTTGCTCTGCATCCAGCTTAAGCATGCTGATATTCAAAGTAGACTTTAAAAAACCCAACAATCGACCACAAGTAAAAGTAGTTGCAAACTAAAAAAATAAGTAATGAAAGCACAAAACCTATACAATCTTTTACACATAGTATAAGACTATAAAAAATAACAACACTGCTGATTCACAAATGGCTTTTAGAATAGAAGTAAGACTAATTTGGAATTTAATGACAAGTAAAGAGATTCTTTGTTCAGTGTTTCTTATAACAAGCATGGCCCTGTCTTCCTTACCATTCCTTACCATTTATTTTTGGTTTTATTTTTTCCAAGCAGCACGAATTTTCCTAACCATTAAATGTTTCTCTACTTATATGCACATACACAAACACTCATACAAACAGGAGGCAAGGGAATTAAATTTCTCAGTCAGATCAGTCTATCTTCATTACTTACAGTACTGCCTAGCACAGAAAAAAAAAAATCAAAATGTAATTGATTTTTGGAAAATACATATAAGCTGTAAGTGAATGAGAGCATTTTGCTTACTAGACTGCATTTTCACATTAATACAGAGGATATTATTTACATGTTAACTATTTCTAGTCTATATCTTAAGGAAGAAACCCCCTGTCTCCTCTGTTAAACGAAGTTTTCAAAAACTCTAGTAGGAACAAATGTGGAGAAAATGTCTTATTTTGAAAGTGAGCAGCACTCTAATAAAAATTCTGTCATGGTGAAAAAAACGGAGAGACAACTAAAAATGTCTGAAAGAGCTTTAAGTTGTGTAACTGCTGTTTTCTGTGTGATAATAACGTTTATTTGGTTTTGCTTATTATGGTCTTTTCTCTGAAGTACTATGTATGTTATGTTTATTCCTTTCTGCTATGAAAGTTAATGTAAAAGGTGTGTACAGATTCACATATGTAACAACTAGATTTTAGGATCATTTATTTCTACTACAAAGATACTTATCGAAATAAGTACTTAAAGATGATTCTAGAGCAGACTAAATCAAAATGTATTGGAAACATGCATGGTGTATCTTTAGAGAGATATCTGCAGATTTAGCCAGGAAATTTTCATTATAAAGTTAAGAGAAATATTTCTCTTCATTTATGAATTCTTGAAAGCAAGCACTGTCACCTGCAGTTGTCCAGTACTACTTAGCAGCCCACCATTAACTGGGATGACTTAGAGACATACTGAAGTAAACAGAGCTCATCATCGTTCAGTCCACACTGTGCTGCTGGCAGATTAGCCTGGCTAGCTAGAAGCAGCTGTGAAAACCTGCTTCCAAAACGCTTAGTTCCTTTCTACTGCTGGTGCCTCTGCTGGGAGGTGCATTACCTGTGCTTGACTCCACGAGCAATTCCTTCTCCTTCTCCTGGCAGTGCCACAGCCCAGACCCTGAAGGCAGCTGGCACTCATTCAGTAGAACATCTATGGATCAGACCTTTTGTCTGGGGAAGCCAAAAGGAAATTTGATACACCTGAACAAATTAACTATACAAAAGCCCAAGTATTATTTTAGACAACTTATCTTCTAGCCTGCAGCAGAAAAATGTTATGAAACACGAATGACCTTTTTCAAGGGGTATCTTTCCGATTTTAAATGAGCCGGTGAGCAACCTGGCTTCGTTTTCCATTTTCAGAAGGAAAAACAAATTCTGCCTAGATGAAGCTGTGGCTTGCAACACCTCAGGAGTACAGTTAAGTATCATCAGCAGTCTCAGCCAGCCATTAGTGCATTATCTTGAGGATCTACATCATTAGTTTAAATTAGGTTCACTTAATTAGCCAGCTGGTACTCTCCTTGACAAACTGATAAACAAGCTGTGCTTTACAGTTCCATAATGATGAGACTAAAAACCAATTTCCACCTATTTTTTCTGCTTTAATGATGAAAATAGAAAAGTAATCCCCTCTGTTGTTTACCTTGTGCAGAATGTCTCTTAATCAAATACGTTGTCCTCGCATTTCATACCTCTGAAGTCTTCAGCTCTTCTCATAACAAAGGAAGTGTAGAGCTCAACTGTCTTAAAAGGTTTGTGGTCTCAAGAGACAGCGCTCAAGGTCGTAGGGAAGACTCTTTGGTTCTGATCAAAAGTCTACCAAAAGTAGCAACTGTAATTGGAAAACATATGAAAACAATCTTTCCAACTTCAACAGAATAAATGCAGTTTAGCAGAGATAGGAAGCTTTGAGTGTAGCAATATTGTGTAACACCTTGCATTGATTTCAGTACGTGGGTTGAGAATACTCTTCCTTTTTTAGCCATTTTCCAATAATTGATGTAGTTTTTAAACTGATATGTATAAAGTGAGAGTGATGGAAGGGAAGGAAGATAAATACTTTTTCACTTGATTTAAAACCTTTGTTTGCAGCTTTTAAATAACTTCAATATAATGTAATTTCGATGCCAAATGTTAGAGCACATAATGAATAAAAGTCACTTTTTTTCAGCAATTCAGTAACTTTGAATTAATCAGAGGGCTGTTCCAACAATTGACAACATAGTTTTTATATACAATCTGAAAACATCAGGAAATGCATGTCCAGTCATCATTCAAGCACATATACTATTTTTCTTTTGAAAATGAGACAGAAAGTAAGGATTTCTATTTTTGTTATGCTTCAGGCAGTAAGTACAGATCCTGTTCCAGTGAAACTACACTACGATAAATCACATGATCAAGTCTGGGTGCTGAGCTGGGGAAACATGGAAAAGAATTCACCAACTTTGCAGGTGAGGTCATTGGAATGATTATATGCAAGGAAAGCTAGACAAGTTGAAGCCTTTGTGTAATTGTAGAGTTTTGTATGTTTTCCTTTAAGCATTGTTATCATGGCCCCGGCAGGGGCAGTGAAATTATTTCAGGTAACTAGAAAACAATTTGGACAACTGACTTTGCTAAAAAAGTTAGAGATTAGTTTCAACACCCGCACTCAGAAGAGACAGTGCTAAATTGATAGAAGGATAAGGAATACAGCTGAAAGCAGCATCATGTTTTGTAATTGCCAGTCTTTTGAGAGCAAACTGTTGCTGTTTATGACAGTTTTGTCCCTCATTAGAGGATAACCTGGCATTTAGGCATATTCCTGTTTCACTAAAATTATATTGACTCTCTGGAGGTGACAAGCTCCATCTTTACTTATTACTTTTTACAGATGTAAAATCTTAAAAATCTCTACTTTTCTGGTGCCTCTGAGCAATGGCAAGCCTTAGGACAGTCACTAAAGAAACATTTCAAGAAGCTGTACTTGCATTCCTACCTTTTCACTACTTTCTGTTCCTTATTTAAAGAAATCCCCTGAGAATACAGTGTTCATCTTTATGTTATAATTTTAAAATTACTTTTTATTTCAACTTATTTTTGTTTTCTTTAGAGGTTAATGAAATCTCTATCTATTAAATATCTATATATAAGATAAAGAATAAGAGAAATGCAAACACAGGGCTCAAGCAGAAAAATGAGTAACGTTTGAAAACACCTTTTTAGCACCTACGGACTCTTAGTACTATGAGCATGCAAGGTAATTTGTGTGAGTTTAGCTGTTACCCCAGAAAATGACTGATAATTGAGTCAGTCTTACCATGTTCTAAAGTGACTGATCATCTTCACTCTCATTTTTCCTTACAACATAGATAATTGTGCTGGTTTTGACTGGGGAAGAGTTAATAGTAGCTAGTAGGGGGCTATGTTTTAGATTTGTGACTAAAACAATGTTGATAACACAGGGGTTTTTAATCACTGCTGCTGAGCAGTGCTTACACAGAGCCAAGGCGCCTTTTCTTCTCACACCACCCCACCAGTGAGCAGGCTGGGGGTGCACAAGAAGTTTGGAGGGGACAGAGCCAGGACAGCTGACCCGAACTGACCAAAGGGATATTTCATATCATATGACATGGTGCTCAGCATATAAAGATGGGGTAAGAAGAGGGAAGTGGAGGACGTTCAGAACGATGATGTTTGTCTTCCCAAGTAACCATTATGTGTGATGGAGCCCTGCTTTCCTGGAGATGGCGGAACATCTGTCTGCCGATGGGAAGGAGAGAATGAATTCCTTGTTTTGTTTTGCTGGCATGTATGGCTTTTCCTTTACTTGTTACACTGCCTTTATCTCAACCCACAAGTTTTCTCACTTTTACTCTTCTTATTCTCTCCCCCATCTCACTGAGGGGGAGTGAGCAAGTGGCTGTGTGGGGCTTGGTTGCCAGCTGGGGTTAAACCATGACAATAATAATTTTTTATTTTTTTTTTTTTTAATCCACTCTGAAGTGCATGTATGTGAATATCGTAGTGGCTATTATAGGGCATTGTCTTTTATTCACCCATAAACATTTACCTCAGAGAAGGTCCAGTATTAGAGAATTCGAGGAAAATTGGTTCATAACAACTTAAGGAATGTGTAAATTAAAATCAGCTTTCTCTTCTGAAATATGTCTGTGCTGTGTTAAATTACCTCATGATTGACAAGAATTGGGAGTATGCATAGCCATAGCTTCCTGTTGGATCTGTTGATAACATCTTACCTTTTCACTCTAGCTAAAAGTGCTTCAGTAACATAATCTCACTCTAGGATCTAGTGAAAAAAAAAAGGTAATCAAAACCCTTAGTTTGCACTAAGAACTGCTAGAGGCTTTAGTAATGTAAATGAATAATTATGGACTCATGGCCAAAAAAAAAGAGGGAAAAAATAAATATAAAGAAGAAGTGGTCAGGTATGTAACAATTCTCTGAAATCTGTAATGCTGATCAGCTTTATTCACTGTCGTTTATGTTCTTTATCTTAGTAATACAAGATAATACAAGAAATGGAATACAGAGGCAATACTGTATTAATTTATTTAGATAAAGATTAAATTTTGAAAGAGAATTTCTATATTTTATAATGATGTTACTTTATGCAGGTGATAACACAAGCCAGTGGGAGTATTTCTCATCACACAATCCATACTCAGCCAGTGGGAAAACAGTTTGACAGAGTGGATGACTTTTTCATTCCGGCTACAACCCTCATCATTAGCCATATAAGGTAAGTTTTAGCTGAATTATAATTAACTTTCAAATAAACTATAACATTGTCTGCAAAGAAAATATAATTTAAAAACCTTGAAAATCTGAGACCATGCCATCCAATTTCAATAATGCTTTGTAAGACCCTTCTTCATAAACAAAGTAAATGTGAGTTTCAACTTGCTTTGTTGAAAACAAGTATTAGAGTTTTCCTTCCTTACCTCACCAAATGCTCAAAAGTTCTACTGTTCTATGCACTAAAATTGAGATATAATATCATCTGGGATTTTCTTGAGGAATTGGTAAGTATAATATTCAAATAATTCCCTAACTTAGGAGCATGAATCTTAATTTATAAATAATACATACTAGTTCCTTCTACTGCTCAAAGCAGTTGCCATATATATTATTTGCTATATTGTATTACATGTATGTTATATTGGAGTTATTCTCTTTATTAACAGACCAGAAAAAAAACCTTTTGAAGTTTTAAAAGAATTTGTAATACAACATAACTTAACTCTGTATTAACTGGTTTCTTCTGCTCATACAGTTCTTTCTATGTGTTTTTTAATCAGGCTCTCTGTTTTTAAAACAAACCATGACTAAGCATGTAACAGAAACTCTGGTTAGATGCATGAATAAAATTGGTCTTATTTCATAGGTGCTGAATATATAATGTTAAAATGGTTCATATTGTAATCTATGCCAGGAAGCACTGAAAATTTTGGGACTTTAGTTATTTCTCTCAGTGAATGTAGGATTGTGTTTGTCCAAAGAACAGATAAATTCTGACTGTGATAGAAATATTCTAAGTATGGAAGAATGGAACGAAGTGACCAGCTAGATTTTAAAAGAAATATGGGACAGAGAAGGAGAGTGTGAGGAAAAGAGGGCAACATTTAAAATAGGCATAAAGCAGAAATCTTTTCAATATCTTTCCAAGGCCTCTTAAATGAAAATCTACGTTTCTTCCTCAAAATACATTAGTAAGAATGCGAAATATAATTTTCTTTTCATATTTTTTCTGTAACATTTCTACCTGTAGGGAATACAAAATTCTGCAATCTAGGATTTGTACATCTGAATATTGCATTAATATATATTAGCACTTTGTATGTTTAGGACTGTTAGGTTTTTTGCAAGGTGACACAGACCTATTTCAGCTCAAAACACCTCTGCAAATACTTAACTCAGTTGTTTATTCTGCTCTTTCTAGTTCAAGTTTCTATAGAAATGCTTTCATTAGGATGATCTTAGCTGTCCTACGAGACATCATCATTCACTTTTAGCTGAAATCTCAAATCACACATGTAAATATGCATCTCCATTAAAAAAGAAATCATTTCTGATTGTAGTGAGTCATAGTCTTTTAAATGTTAAAACATGCAATTTAGGATGATTTTACAATTGATTCCAAAATTTACTCTATATGTGCCTGTAATGAATCTAGTCTTCTGTATCAAAAAAACATTTGGTCTCTTCTAAAGAGGTTGTTGATGAAAGATTTTTTTTTAAGTTTTCTACGGAACTCTTAACTAACAAGTAAATTAGTAATCAGCCATATACAATTTAAAATGGAATGTATAGATTAATATAGCTGAACAGTAAATTGACTCTAAGTGCCATTACTGCCACATTTCTTGAATTGAGTAGATAAGTGAAGATTGTGTCCCTGAAGTTATCTGCGGTCCTCACACTCAGCCTTATAAAAGTATTAAATAATTGTTACATTTGGAACAGATATGCCTTGAGAGAACAAAAGTTACTGCTTCATAAACTACCAAGTACTAGAGGTACTACCGCAAAAGAACTGACATTTAGATACATTAATTTTCATGTAAGTAGGAAAAGAAAAAGATGGATAAGGATAAAAATCATACAAGGAGGGGAGCCAGGACTGGGAAAAGAAAAATAGGCCTAGTCCAAATCTAGTGAGGAACTCATCAAATAATTTTATGTGGTTATTTTGCCTAAATAGGTCAAGTAGGTGCTTTCTGCTTCACATGGTGAGTCACAGCTACCTTTAGCTGATGAGTCATTCCACCTGTCCTATATGCAACTTAGGAGAAAAGAGAATTAAAGAATAAGAGAAAGGCACAGAAATAAAAAAGAAATATGAAATTCAATGAAATAGTGAAACAATGAAATGGGACAAGTGACTGCAGATGTATAATAAAAAAAGTACCATCAATTCAGGCCTAGTGTAATTACCTTGTGATTTTTTTTTTTTAATTCACATGCCAGATAAAGACCAAAAGAAAATTTCTGAAGTCTGACAAAAAGCCTGCAATAGTTTGTCCAATGCAAAACCCATAGATTTCGTGTTTTTAACTAACAAAATCAATCCAACAGTAATTAGCTGGTTTTACCTATTCATGAGCTTTCTTGAAACACAAAGAATATTTTAGTTTTCTAATTCTGAGTGCCTTTTCTAGGAAAGAAAAAAAAACACACTATGTAGACAAATACTGTATTTTTACTTTTTATGTGTTCTTTCAAGAGCTAGTTATGTGAAGTTAGTCATTAAAGAATTTGCCCTATATAAAATGTCTGGCCGTCAAGTACTTTGATTTTTTTGTTTAAATAAAAATGAACTATGTGAGCAGTGTTTCAGGAAAGGTTTTAAATTACCTATATTCATCAAATTAGTGGTGACGTAGAAAAACTGTCTATTAAATCTAAATTGTCGACAGACAACAATAAATACGGTCAATGACAGCATGTGTTTGTTAAAGATGTTAGGCAACAAACATAAAGCTTGAGCTTATTATTCTTTGGTGTATATAAAACAGAGCCAGGGGAGCACTTTATGAGGGTGAATAGCAAAAAACAGCTACAAGGGAGGCAACCCCACTGGCTGTGTTAGCTGATACAGTTAACTGCTCAAGGGTCCTATTTACTCTTTGTTAGAAGTCGGTTGACTATGCCACCCAGCTCCTTCCAGAAAAATGAAAGCTTTCCGTGGCTATGTGTATTTGTCACCTGTAAACTAAAATTTTGAATGATGGAGCAGAAGACAGAGTGTGCATGGCTTACCAAATAAGCATCTAGAACCAAACTTCCCGTCTGAATAAAGGCATTTCTAAGCAAAAAAGGAATACCACTTAAAAGTATGAATTTTCATAACATAGTTAACACAAACTGTCTTCTACCATCTACTGCATATGCTATCCAATCAGTTATTTTTTGATCACTGTAAGGAATAAGGGACAGAAGGTAAAGATGGGTAGGCTTGTTGACACACAGGAACAGAAATAAAGGTGAATCATTTAAAGCTATGGTGGGTCATTAATTTTTTGGTTTTACTAGTATCTAAAATGTTAATTGGTAATAATGCAAATATATGTATTTAAAAGTTATTGCAAATTAATTTTATTTAAGAAGTGATGGAACTCTACATTTGCTTTACCTAGGTGGGTTATTTTTATAGATGAAAAAGGAAATGGGCTGCCCATTATTAAAAAAGAAAACTCCACACATTTTAATGCTCTCTTGGGTAGTGCATAATTTAGGGTGCACTTCCCTCAGATCAGACATTTGAATAGGTACTAAAAATTTTGATCTGAGGTAAACAATAACTGATCCCAGGAAATTCTTAGACTCTTCCTACCACAGAATAAGGCAATGTTTGTTTGCACTTGCAGTACGTTGGGAGTCAGGGCAAATAACTTTTGGGTTGATAACTAGCAAGCATAGCATTCATGCTCTGAACAACTGTGATGAGCCATCAAAGCAGCAGCTAAGCAGACTAAGTAGGCCTGAGCCAAAAGAAGTAGTGGATGAATAGGCTCATTCTGATATTTTTAAACTCTCTCTTATAATTGGTGAATGGTTGATATGTATACAGAAGAGGACAAGAAAAGGTTTATCATTTTGGGGAGAGAAATATGGTAGGTTCAGTAATATCAGTTAGTTTTGGTGTGGGGGTAGGGAGGTGTCTCCCTGTCTTTTATGTTCCAGTCAGACTATGTCCTTCCGCTCCTGGGATGATGGAGAAATAGATTTGTACAGTCAAACACCATGAGAAATCAAGCAATGTTTTGGCTGTAATCCTTTTGTAACAGCTAACCATTTATATATATATATTTTTAAGAAGGCAATATACATTAGTTTTAGTAAAAATCTACTAATTACCTCCCTAATAACATGTAGAGCACCTCACTGATGTTTCCAGGTAGCAAATCCCTGTTTGTCCAGAGAGCCTCAGCTGCAGGTAGATCAGGTTGGCACCCCATGATAAGGCTCTAAAAATGTAGGTGACTTAATTCTAGAATCTGTGTTGTTTTTTAACAAGATTAGTTTGCTTGCTGACTCTAAGGGAAGAATTGCCTTATGCCTTTGAACATTCGTTCATGATGGAAATAAAATTCCTTCTTTTTTTCGCAAAAAAGAATTTAGAGAAAGTCAGAGTTTCCCATGACTTCATGAGTTTCTTATGCCAGCCAGTTGTAGTGCAATGCACAATTCTCAGTCAGTCAGCAAGGAAAAACAAGCTATGGCACAAACCAGTCAAAATTATTAGTAGAAAGAACCCTTAATGAATTTTGCCCAGGCTTGCTGTTGGAAATCTGAAGGTTTCAAAGTGAACAAATTATATGTTCGTCTTGCATATCTTGAAAAAGCCTGTCCTGCTGTCATCATCAGCTTTGTTTTACCTCCAACGTGCACTTACTGCCAATATATATTGAGTTAAACCAAGAGGATGAATGAATGCAAAGTGTTGGTTTTCAAGCACACTGTCACGCCCGTATTTTCAGTGCACACAGCTTGAAAAAAAAAATCTCCCCCTGCCCCTAGTTGTATTGAAAAGTTATCAGACACTGGGGCCACAAAAGTAGACAGAATGAGATGTATTAATCTGTAATAAATGGTACAAATCCAAGGACCTTTTTTTAGTTATTACTCAGGCAAATATATACAAAGCTTATTCCTTTTGTAGATGTACCTTTTAAGAATTGAGTGTGTATGTATTTTCAATATTTGGCCTTAAACATTTACTGAGAATAAAATTTTATT